CATTTGTAATTTTAACAAAAGGCATTACCAAAGCACAGCCCTATTACCCTATTTTTCGGTGTTGCAATAGAGTTAAAAAGTACTTCAAATATCGCCATACAGTGGTAAATTTGACCATACTTTTCTTCTCAGTATAAAAGTTATTTTGAGCATATTTAGTCTAATAGAAAATAATTAATTTGCAATAAAAAATTAGTTTGAAGTCAATAATTTGTCATATGTATACAATCATAGGACAGATCATAAGAAGTTGAATTTGGAAACAATTAGAGTAACGCTGTAAATGTCTTATATATGATTTTATTTCGAAATTAATCTATAATTACAACTAAATATATTAAAGCTTTACACCACTATACAATACAACATATAATAACCGGTTTTTAGACTGGTTATGATTCATTTAATTTTAAGTAATAAAATTATACTCTTTTATGCATAACCCCTTATAACTTAAAAACTTTTAGTTCTGTTAACTTAATTAAGTTTAATTGACTTATACATTAAACCTAATAACTCTTACCATTTCTAATCTATAGGTTCTAACGATTTGGGTTTAGTCTCAATAAATTTAACATTAAAAATTGCGTAGAACCCAACATCTCTCTGGTCTATATAGCAAAGTCAAAAGAGTAGATTAAATATAACCACAAAATTGTATATATTTTTAATACAGAAAAACGAATTAACGAACATGGCTTCAAATTTTGTTTTGATGTCGTTCAATTCAGCTTGCAAAACTATAATAAATAATATCTTAATAGTCCAAATTGTAATTAAAAATACTTAATCAAAACCAGGTTAAAAAAATTGAATTTTTTATAATTTATACTCACTAAGTTTTTCATTACTTGTGAACTAAAAATCACATTTACTTGGATTAAACTATTCATTTCATCGTAAAAAATACATAAAAATACCTGACTTGTCTGTTATGTTTATTATTTACTTTTTGTGATCCATTTCCTCTTCAGTAAGTTTCAAATGGCGGCTATCAAGTTCACTTACGGTGAAACAGGTCTAATCAAATTTTTTGATCGAATTCTAGCTTCTCTCTAATTATTTTCGTCTTTAGTCTTTTTTAATGGACACAGTATTTGGTCGGTATTTTTAAATTTTCAACGTTTGCTATTATGTTTTTGTAGTATCCAAAGATCAGAATTTTTTTCAAAAGTCGTAAACAAATATTTTAACTATTTTAATACTTAAAATATGTGCAATCAGGAAGGTATAGATATATGTTGTATAGACAGCTATTGTTGTTTTAATGAGGTTTAACTTTTAGACGGAGTGGGATAAATAATAAACTTTTATTAATTTTCATTTTTTTTCTTCAAAAAATTAAATAGAAATGCATTTCCAAATGAAAACAAATTTTGACTCTTTGCAATTAATAAACACGCGTTTTTGCAGAACAACGCATAGATTTGCCGGAAGATGAAATTACAGAATGTGAAAAAGAGCATTGTCATCCTGCATGCTTGTAAGTATCCTGTTTGATTTCCTCAAAAGGATTGTACTAAGAGGAAGCTCTATTTTATAAACTAAACTAAAGTATTTATTAGTGGTCTTAATTAATGTTAGCATCCGTAATTAAAAATGTAACATATACTCTTGTAAACTTCATTGCACTTTGGTTTCAATTTTAAAGAATATTCTTTAAAAAAAAAGTGACAGCAACTTTTTTTTATTAATAAGAGAAAATTTTGATTTCTACTTAAAATTATGATTCTCCTACATATAGTTAGGGTTCAGTGGCTGGGTGCCGCAATTGTTTTGTTGTCGGCCTTCTGAGACCAAGTCTGCAGGTTCGATCCACGGCCCAGACACCGGATTTTCGGGATGCAGAAAATCCTTACCGGTCATGTCGTATGATTATGCGGCATGTAAAATATCCCTGGAGTGCCTTATTGGCTTTTGGCATTTCCGGCAAAATTAAATTCCTAGTGCACTTTAACATCCAAATAGAGTCTTGGTGCTGCCATCTAGTGTGGCAGAAACTAGACGTCCAATTTAACATGGCCAACGGTATCTCACCCATTGTGGTGGTCCTGAAAGAGTGGATACCACTTCTGGAGAACGCACTAGGTCTGCTCATCGGGAAGACTGATTGTGCAGCTCATAGGAAATAAAAATAAAAAAAAAGTTAAGGTGTTAAAGCTGATAAACTTGGTTCTAATGCTCCCAAATTTCTATGATGATAAATACATTTTTTATTTTTATTTTGTTATTAGCGAAGAAAGTTATGAAGTTACAAGAAAAATAACTGAGTTGTATTCTAAGGTAATTTTACTTTTTTGTACTTGTTTGATATTTGCTCATAATATCTTAAACACTAGTCAACCTTTAGTCAGTCAAACTTTAACATACGAATAATATAAATTTTGGAAGATATCACAATCATCGATTACTAAACTATGTACAGCTAAAATTTTATAATTCAATTTCGTACATTTTTAAAATTACATTTAAATGAAACAGCCCAGACTAAAAAAATTGTGTTAACTGTCGTCCAATAAACAATAGGCTATTTAGAGACAAAAAGTAACAGATATATGAAAATTACAAATATGTGATCTTTTCTACTGAAATCAGTTAATAATTGACAGCATGAAAACAGACTGTAGTATAATTCATAATTGAAAATGGTAGTTTCAACACGACAGATTTCAACTCCATAATTGCAAATAGATCAGCAGAAATAGATGCAAGTTTAACAGTCTATAACTTATCGATTGTTATTTTTTTTATTCCATCGTACTCCTTGTACATTTGTCCATACACTATGATCGTAACTTCAAACTTAAGCCTTTTCATTTTCTTTGCCCTAAATTAAAATTTAACGCAGAGCCAAAAAAAAAAAAAAAAAAAAAAAAAAAAAAAAAAAAAAAACGACTGAGATAAAATTTGTGAAAAACGCAGTTAAAATGGTTAAACCTTTGAAACAAACTGGACTTAGAAAAAAAAAAAACGTGTTTAATTCATAAACGGAAATTGATCTTTCAGATCGACAAATTTTAATTTTGTAGTTGAACACGATCTAATGAGTATCCAGCATTGAATTTTTACAATAAGTTTAGCAGATAATAATTTTGAAACTAATAATTTAATGTTAAACTTTTTTTTAATTCCACCGTTTTACGTGTATTGTTTTTTTCAAAATACCTTCGTACTTTCAAGTTTTTAAGTTTTCTAGATTTTCTGCAGAAAAACAAAATGTGATAAAACGTCGAACACCCAAAACAACGGTTGCTGGGCTTACACTTTTCTAATGCAGATTGAAAATTTGTAATAAAATATCAGTAGCTTTCAATAAAACTTGTAAAGATTTGTGCTAAAATTTCCTGATAATATTTTTATTAAAATAAAATAAAAACATTATCACAACAGTAAGTTGTGGGCCAGAGAGATCGTTAAAACACTCCACGATGTCGTGATAGGCAGCATGATTGTTTCAATGTGGTCACCACTGTGCACAGGTCTATTTTACTTCCCATACATACTGGTACCCACAGACAGAAGCTGGGTGAGCTTCAAGCAAAGAATATACATAGGACAAGAAGTCTAACTTCCATTGACATAATGTAAATCAGTCCTCCAAGGTTACGTGTAGTCCGTGTGTTCAAAGGAAAAAACAGCAACAGAAACAGCACAACAACAGAGGTACTTGATACGGGTTTTCCCCTCCCCGTAACCACTACTGGGGTTGGGGAAGCGTTTAGGTGAAGAAGAAAAGTTTTCTATTTTAAAGTGTTGTTGGTTTGTTCTCTATTTTTTACACAATAGCTAAGCAGTACTATTCAATTAAGATACTTCCTTGAGAATACATTCATATCATCAATGTTAAATAGGTCTGCTAACATATTTTGACAAAGAAAAAAATGGTGATTGATAGGAAGCAGCTTACTTAATCATGCATACAGGGCTGTCCAACAACCGGTTCACCGGTGACGTATCACTTGACTGTCACTTTGCTTCTTATGCGCATGCGCTGGATCTTAGTTCAATTAACGCTGTGCTAAATCTGAGTATGTTAATCACCTTGTAAATGGTTTTATGGGATAGCGTTCGCCACGTTAGTTACATATTCGAAGAGCTGGACTTCTCCTTTCCAAATTATTTTATTCAAGCTTCTACTGGGTATCGAACCTCAGTTCTTCATAAAGGCAGCCCAGTGCCTAAACCACTGAGCTATTGTGGTATTATTACACCTTTAATATGTTGAATATATGTGGCTGGCTGTCGCAGTTGGTTTGTCGTCGGCCTCCTGAGCCCAAGTCTGCGGGTTCAATCCCCGGCCGAGACACCGGATTTTCGGGATGCAGAAAATCCTCAGCGGCTATGTCGTATGATTATGCGGCATGTAAAAGATCCCTGGAGTGCCTTATTGACTCTTGGCATTTCCGGCAAAATTAAATTCCTAGCCACTTTAGCATCCAAATAGAGTCTCGGTGCGGCCATCTACTGTGGCAGAAACTACACGTCCAAATTAACATGGCCAACGGTATCTCACCCATTGTGGTGGTCCTGAAAGAGTGGATGCCACTTTTGGAGAACGCACTAGGTCTGCTCATCGGGACTACTGATTGTGCAGCTCATTGGAAATTAAATTAAAAAAATATGTTGAATATCATCTATTTAAACATGCTGAACTGCAATGTATTTGTCCTGCCTCATGGCCAATTTTTCATTATTACTTTATTTACTTCCATATGAGAAGACCTTTATAAGTACGAAGATTAAAATGAAATTTATCATTTGGTAAATAGGTTGTTTATTACCAATCAATTTATTGTTTACTTTTAGTGTAGTATAAATTCGACATTCAAATCTAGTGAGTTTTTTAAATATGCAATTTCGCATTCTAAATTAAGCATATACTCGTATATACATAAATATATACTGGCGTCTCTTTAGCTTCTTATCAGTTTAGTAATCAATTAATTTATTTTAATATAATTGTCAATCAATTTAGTTTAGTTATCAGTTAGTTTGGTTCAGTTATCAGTTAGTTTAGTTTAATACTTATCAGTTTAGTTATGGTGTAACTCATTTTGACTGTTATTGTGTTTCATTAAGGAAATATTTGATTCGATTTAAGACTGCACTTTCAATTTCAAGATTTCCTTCTTTCCAGGCTGCTTGCGGATTTGAATCAGTTACTTAGTAAGTACATTTTTGAATTTTTATAAGTCATAAAACACGAGATCCAAAATCGATTGTGCAGCGAGAAAACAAATTGTAATGCCTCCTTAATTTTGACCAAAATTCGTTTTTGTCTATAATTGAAGTTTCAAGATCTGTACACAGTTTAAAATATTGGAGCACGTTGAACTCCTATATCGTGCGCCATCTATCGGTATTTATATGAAATTAAAACATCTAAAAACTTGACCATTTCTTACTATTATTCAATTTTAGTAGAGGCATGGTTCAACTTAATACTTAATTGAGGTTTGCTGTTGTAGTTGTTGTTGTTTATTTACGTTGTACTATGGGCTATTAATGACGGTTAATTGAGTTATGTGGAAAAGTCTTCTGAGGGAGGCCCAGACTCACAAAGGGCTGTCGTGCCAATGCTGATGATGAATTGAGTTATACAGCAAACTTACTTAAAACAAACGGAAGCAATGTAACCACGTTATTTCAACGATGCAATTACTAATTTTACATATTCCAAAAAGAGTTTGAGTGTTGGATTTACAGACCTTTTCGAAAGTGCGGTGCAAAAAAACAAAATTGTTTGGAGTACTTATATTTGTTTAAACAATTACAAAAATATATATTTATTTTGAAAAAACAAATTTTTACTTTATTTTTACATTATAGACATTTCTATCAATTCTTCAAAAAGTGAGAAAGTTCAAATTTTAAAGGTGAAAAATTCAAGTTAAGAAAAATTGGAAAGGGCAGCTTTGGATTTGTTTCACTTAAGAAAGTTAGAAATTTTTTTTCTAATTTGAAATAATACCGCTAATTCTACAAAAAATCTTTCAAAATTAAATTAATTATTGTGTTTTGTGAATTATGTGTTGATAATATGTTGAAAAATATGTTTTTATTTTAGTCAAACCATAGATGTACGGATATACATGAACGGAATGGAAACAATAACGTATTCATATACCCCTAAATTTGAGGTAAACGTTTTCAACTGTTTTGTTTGTTGCTGTTTCTTTTTTTTAAAAAAAATTCAAAAGGCAAATAAAGTAATAATTTGTTTATTTTATTTGAAGGAAAAAGAAAAGTAAAACAAAGAAAAGCAAGCTCATTGACTCATAATGTGTTGACTTTTATAAAGAAAAACACTTGTTAGCAAACAAAGAAAAACAAGCACATGCATTGCGTTAATGTTTAAATGTTTAATACTGAACAAAAAAAACTACTAAAGCATAATTTCTCACACCGAACACGTTATTGTCATTAATAATATTAGTTCTTATGCACTAGGGGGGCGGAAAGTAATGTCGTTTCGGTGTATTTGATATTTGTTAGCAAGATTTTATTTCTAATCAATAATGTATTCACCCTCATTAGCAACAACTTTTCAATGCCAGATCGAAAATGAATCGAAATGGATCGGGAAAAAAAATTAATTGGTTTTTAAAACTAACGAGCATTTAATGCGTCGAAACGACATTACTTTCCGGTTCCCCTAATATGTATGATGGTCGATTAAGATATTTCGAATAAAAATATGCTTAAGTTTGTTCATTAGAGCTACGCATACTTTCTGAAATAACAATGATAATTACTGACAATTATAAATTTTAGGTAATAGAAACTTTCAGCTATATTGGTGGCTATGTTGGAATTTGGCTTGGGATCTCGTTGGTTGCTGTATTTGATTTTTTAGAGACAGTCCTCCTTATCATGAGCTTTCCTGTCAAGAATTATATGAAAGCAAGAGAAAGGAACGGACGGATAGAGATGATAAAAAACCTTTCACGGAATTTGTAAACAAATTCAATATCAGAAACGATTTCTGCATATCCAGCTTTGTTTGGAGTATCGTAAATTTAATTCAAAAAATACGTATAAAATGCTATAAAGATGTATTTTTTGGAACTTGATGTAAATAAAGAGACCGTATGTGTTTTTGTTTCATATTGTTAGAGCCAATGTGCGTATTTTTACTTTTTTTTCAAGTCTTTAAAATTCTGTATGTATTTATAAAATTGCATAAGATGTACCACTTTACCACTAAGCATGCTTCAAAAGCTAAATATAACCTATACAAGTGGAACCATTGTATATCAAATATTCCCATCAAAAATGTTTCTAAAGGGGAAGCCCGTAAGGTTTGGATTTAAACTTAGGTGTTTGTGCTTGTCTGACGGATTACCTTTTCCAATTCATTCCTTATGGCGGTGCTGAGGCTAAAAGTAATGAACAAAATATGCTATTAGGAACAAACGTTGTTCTGAAGTCACTTAGCGTTGTTTCAAAGCTTGAGATGCACAAAATTTATTTTGATGACTTTTTCTCATGGCTTATTCCAAATTTTGAAAGAAAAAGGTTTCCTTGCATCTGGCACAGCTCGCGAAAGTCGCATAGCTGGTTGTATATTGGATGATTCTAGAAATATGGGGAGAAAAAAACATCGTGGTTCCTACGATTTTGCATTCAACAAAGATGCAAAAACATGTGCAATAAAATGGAACAACAATGCTGTGGTAACAATTGTTACTAATAACGATACAATTTTGCCAATTAAAAATGCCAAACGATACAGTCCCAAAGAAAGAAAAGAAGTTTTGATTTCACAACCTAACGTTATTTCGGATTATAATAAGCATATGGGAGGTGTAGACTTACAGGACAATGCCACATCTAATTACCCCATCAAGATTCAAGGTAAAGAAATGGTGGTGACCATTATTTACAAACATCATTGATAGCATTATAATAAATTCATGGAAGTTACATAGAATTTCCATAGCTCAAAAATATCACTTATAGACTTTGGATGCTATATAGCTATTGCCTTATTTAAATCTGAATCGGAGAACAATTCATCTGGTCAAAGTACATTACAAATAACCCTTCCTAATAAAGGTCGCCCATCATTCGCAGCTCAACCAAAAGAAGTACGGACTGATAGAATTGGATGTACGATAAGTGAAAGTGAAGAAAAAAACCCAGACAATGCAAAGTGTGCAAAAACCACACGATTTATTTATGCATCAAATGCAAAGTCCGTTTGCATCCAAAATGTTTCGAGTATTTCCATTAAGGATATAACTGTTAAACTAAACGATTGTTCATTGATCTGGCCAATGGTGGGGAAACGCACCATTTTATTTCTTAAATAAAATATTATTTTTCATGCACGAAACTTACTTTCGTTTTAATTAATGTAATTTGCACATATTTCAATGAAATTAATACCACCTTTTATAAGTAGGTCGATCAAGAAACGATTGATAATTGGAAAGAAGTAGTTCCGACAATAGGTGAGCTATGAAAGAAGATGTCATAGCCAAGTGCTGCCCTTTTTTGCAAAATATTTGTAGTAGAGTAGAATATAAGTGGTAGAATATTTAAAACTAAAGAAAATCCTCACCACGAAAGAATTGTAACGACATGGCATTTCGTTTCAATTTATGAATCACTTACATGCAGTTCTGTGGAAAATAGCATTAAACTTTGAATCAAATTTGCAAAACGAAAAATCATACACTGCCCTGAAATAATGGAGAAAAAAAAATTTGGATTTTTCTAATTTCTCATGAAATACTGAGAGAGTTATTTTATGACTTATAATCATATATGGCAACGTTACTTTTAAAAAGTTGCGAGTAAAAGTACAAGTATTTTTAAAAAAAGTAACGAGTAAAAAGTACAAAGTTCTTATTTTAAAAAGTAACGTTATTTTAAAAGTAAAGTTATTTTAAAAAGTACTAAACGAAAAAAAGTAACGATTTAAAAGTACATTTCTAGGAAATCGAAAATTCAAAGTAACCTAAAATTTAATTGAATAATATTCTTATGTTCTTTAACGTTTTTGCAAAATTGTTGTTAGTTATTTAATTATTTTTAATTTTGAAAGTTATGAATATTAATTTTATTTTAAATTCGGAAGAATATTATAATATAATTTTATAATATAATGGTATAATATAATCTTAAAATCAAATATAATTTTAATATCAAACTTTTTATGGATTTGCACGAAAAAGAAATTTAATCTATTGATTTTAATTTTTAGTTTATTATTTTTATTTATTTAAATTACCATTGATTTAAAATTGTTTTACTCTTTAGAAACGCGTTTTAAAAGCACAAACATAAACAAAGCAAACACGGGGTTTCAGATAGTTTTGTGATCTTTGAGCTAGTAAAAAATAATTGAATGTGCAGTATAAGTTGAAACAGAAGGTATTTAAACACGAAGATACCTGTGAATGCATACATATTGCACATTAATTTTATAAATTAAAAAAACATAAGAATTTTTTTTTTTTTAGAAAGTTTAACGAGTTTTAGAAAAAAGTACCGATTTTATTCGATATTTCCGTTACAAATACTTGTACTTTTTCCCTATAAGAGTAACGAAAGTACAAGTAATAGTACTAAATTTAAAAGGTAACGAAGTACAAGTAAAAGTACGTACTTTTTACTTGTACCGGCGGTACAAGTAGCGAAAGTAAAAGTACTGCCATATCTGCATATACTACATTTAGGTCACATAATTTCTGCAATCAATGGAGTCGTGCATATCAATGAAATTTAAAGCTTTCAGTAGTTGGGGGGACTGGCAAAAAAAAAAATCTTTTTTTTTCCAATACCCAAATGGAGAAAGAGAGATTTGTTGGCCACTCCTTCAGGGGCACCATACTAGGTGGGCCAACGTTGCTCCCACAGTAAGGACAGATAATACAGAGAAGGAAAGAACATCCATGTCTTGTCCGCGATTCGAATCCAGAACCTTTCTGATGCAAGGGCACTTCCCTAACCCCTACACAAGCCGGTAAACAAATTACGAATCTAAAATAGTGTATTTGAACAACCAATACTAGTTTGAAAACACAGCAATAAACTAGAAAGTTATATCGATTACTTTGGCTATTACATGCAAAGGCTGCATAAAATTTCGTAAATCTAGCTTAAATATTTGTGAATATATTTGTATAACAAAATAATTTTTTCGCCTTGAATTTTCTTACTATGACTGTAAAAATATTCCTCAAAATTGAACAATGTTTCTTCATCAGTATTTTAAATAATGGCAAAAATATATCTTTTAAAATTTGAAAAGAAATTGTTAAAAATGGAGTAAATTATGAGCATTTAGATTAGAGTAATCCTTTCAGAAAGCGCAAGCTCGGGAAACATTTATTTTTATTAATTAATCTACATATTTATTTAAGTCGAATACTTAAAAAAATTATAAAAGTTTCGTTTAATTTTCTTAAAACGTTTTTTTAAAGGTAGCTATTAATAATAATAAAGGGTTTTACACAATGTATTTTAAAACAAGATTTAAAAATGTATAATATTGCCCTACAATACTTGGCCGAACAGCAAAGTTGTGATGACATAAGGATGATGATGGCATAATTTATTTATTTTTCCTTTCTGTTTCATTCCTGTCACCCCTATTTTTCTAGTATTGTTTTCCACTTATATTTTACCTTTCACTATGACAAACTTACGTTATCTGCTTCAAATTTATTTGCTTTTTTCACTCACGTCTGGCGAGTTTTGAGAATGGGCGCCGATTTGTGTGCGCTTGTACCATGTTGACACTTATTACCATCCATTCAAATCATATTCACGTATCATTAAATATTACCTGTTATACTTTGATATCACAATTTTAATTTTTTACTGTGGATGGATAACAAAATTAGTCACGATACATTTGAATTTTGATATATTTATTGGCCAAAATATTATATAAACATGAGTATGACATTTTCAAAATACAATATTGTTTTTTTTTTAATTCTACAATATACAGGCATATTGCATTTTCCAATTATTTATCTTTTTCTTTTGTTTTCATCATTTTTTTCTTTTTTTGTTGGAGACTATGGGAACAACACGCCGACAATTTTTGGTTTTTAAACTTTTTTTGGGGGATATTTTCTTAATTTTATTGTTTTTATAGAACTTTTAATTCTGCACAGAGCGATTTTCAGAGCATTACTTTTCTTCTATTTTATTATTCAGATGCTATTTTATTTTTCAGATCTATTTTATTCTTCAGACTTCAGATGCAAAATATTTTTCGACTCTTAATTTCTTTATGATTATTTCATTAACTTTTGGTTTTCCTATTTTATTTTTAGACAGACTATGGCGTCACGAAAATCACAATTTTTCATCTTGATACTTTTCTTTTTCTATTGTTCCTCTTCTTTTTTTTCTTCTCATCTTCTTTTTTCATTTCTTTCTCATAGGTAAAAAAATACCTATAACTGCTCTAATGATATACTGTATACTGGTTTTTATTAAAGGTCAGGTGAGAAACTACCATCAACGGTATATTTCTACCTACCACATTTAAAAAATTTCGAAAAAAATAGTAATAAGTACAATTATTGTACATTGCTGATTTTAATATACTTCTTTTAACTATGTTTTGGTAAAAACATATTCATAACACGAACTTAAGATGGAAGTTCGAGGTTACTGTTCAATATTTAGTAGCAAATTGGTTCAATCTCTGCTCTCGGAAATATTCGTTGAAAATGTTTTCGACTTTTTAGTGACTATTTTTTTTTCAATTTAAGACTTCTGGTATTCAATTTATTTCTATTGCGGTTGGATGCGACATGTTTTTCTTTGTTGGTTATGTTCTAACTTTAACTTTAGATGGAAGTTCGATGTTAATGTTCAATATTTGGTGGCCCATTGGTTCAATCACTGCTCTCGGAAATGCTCGTTGAAATTGTTTTTGACTTTTTAGTGACTATTTTTTTTTCAATTTAAGACTTTTGATATTCAATTTATTTCTATTGCGGTTGGATGTGACCTGTATTTCTTTGTTGGTTTTGTTCTAGCATTAACTTTAGATGGAAGTTCGATGTTACTGTTCAATATTTGGTGGCACATTGGTTCAATCTCTGCTCTCGGAAATATTCGTTTAAATTATTTTACACTTTCTATTGAACATTTCTTCTAAATTTTAAACTTCTGATATTCAATTTATTTCAATTGTGGTTGGATGCGACGTGTATTTCTCTGCTGGTTTTGTTCTGAAATTACTCCTGCGCAAGAATATATGAATATCAACTTGAGAATTTAGCAAATGCATTTAAACAAATAAAATCCAAATTGCAGAAGAAAAATAACACTTAAAAAAATCTAGCACTCCCGTTTTCGTACTTGATCTTTTGTATTCCTTGATTTTTTTGGTCGAAGACTTTTTTTTAGGAATCGCCATTTTCTCTTAATAAAGTTCTTTTCAGGTGGAGTGGGATCTTCATCACTCGACACCTCTTCCTTCACACTTAATTGTTCCAATATGAAAGGATCGTTGGGATCGATTTCGATGTAATTTCTTTTATTGTATTCAGCTATCTGTTCTGCTGTTCTGGTGATGTCAAACAAGAAACTCTGGATACATGAATAATCGTTGTCTTCAACTTCCTTCCATGTGTCAAAATTATAGTTATCTCGGCTGCTAGAAACTCTTCCCTCGCTCAGGTTTAAAGGCAGCGGGGTGAGTTGTGAAACATGGCGGATGTCAGATGTATTTTCATGTTTCAATTCGCTCGAGTCTATCTCATTCTCTATATCAGTTTGATTGACATTCGCTTTTTCCGCACTCAGTTGTTGTGGAGCAGGATGAGGAATATTGCAAATGCCGAGGTCATTCTCTTCAGGGTCAATTTCTCTGAGTCTATCAAAGTTGGTGATGTTCTGTCCTGTCAATAGACTGATATAGTAAGGTCTTCGTTTATTCCTTTCTATTCGGAGTGGGGTGAGAGGTGAAAAATTGCAGTTGGTAGTGGCATGTTCACCAATATTGATTTTGGTCTCCTTTCTCATTTTGTTATCTCTTCCACCACTTGATTCTATTCTTCGATGTTTAAGCTGAGGAATATTGTTGATGTTCAGAACATTCTCTCCATCATCAAGTTCTTTGGTTTTATTAGAGTTGTTCTCTGTGATCATTCGGTTAAAGTAGTAGACTCTTCCCTCACTCAGTTCTATTCGGAGTTGGGCGAGCTGTGACGAATTGCAGATGTTAGGTGCATTTTCATCAATTTCCACTTCTTTTGATTCGTCAATAATGATTTTATTCTCCTTTCCTAATGTATTATCTTGCGGGGCAAGATGAGGAGTATTACAGATGTTAAGTACATTTCCTCTAGGATCAAGTCCTGTTGTCTTATCAGAGTTGGTCTGGTTCTCTGAGTTGATTTGATTATGGTAGTAAACTCTTCCCTCACTCAGTTCTATTCGGAGTTGGGCGAGCTGTGAAAAATTGCAGATGTTAGGTGCATTTTTATCAATTTCCATTTCATTTGAATTGTCACTATTGGTTTTGTTCATGGTGTTATCTCTTCCGCCGCTGAATTCAATTCTTTCCGTTGTAAGATGAGGAGTATTGCAGACGTTGAGTGCATTTTCCTCAGGTTCATTTTCTGTACATTTATCAGAGACGATCTTGTTGTCTTTATTAATTTGATCAACATAAACTCTTCCCTCACTCTGTTCTATTTGAAGTGGGGTGAGTTGTGAGTAATCGCAGATGTTAATCGCGTTTTCACCGATTTCCATTTCTTTGGTTTCATCAGTGTTGATCTTGCTCTCGTTTCCTCGTGGTCTAATTTTGCCATCGGTCATTTCAAATTGCAGCGGGGCGAGCTGTGAAAGATTGAGGTTCTCATGTGAGGTTTTCAGATCTTTTTCACAAAATTTCATTTTGTCCTTTCCTTTTTTAGTCTCATTCGGGGGTAACATAATTTTTAAATTTCTCTTTTTTGTGCTGAAATGATTTTTAAAATAAACTTTTTAGCAATTATGTGAATTGAAAATAACTATAACAATGTTTTTTTCTCCTAAAATTTTAAGTAATTATGAAAAAAAAAACTGTTTAACATTCACAAATTTAGCTTAATTTCGAAATCTTATTTCTTTTTTTTTTTAATCAATAAAACTCCAAACTTTTGTTCGCGTATACGCTGAGTGAAATTTTTAAAAAAAGCACAATATTTTGATCTTTTCAAATCTAATTTGTGTGAAACCGACCAAATTTGATATCGCAGGGATTTTCAGATGAATTAAGTATCGTTGAAGTCTCCGAAATTGACAATTCTGCTAACTTTAAATTTTCCCTTCAAGCAAACACGTTCTTCCTTAATTTTATTTTATGTTTAGAAGTTCATTTGATTTTTCAAGTATATTTTTGTAATGAAAAAGGTTTTCTTAACAGAGTTTCTTCATTTTATGAAATTTATTATTTAATAAATGGGAATAATATACCATTTTTTCTCTTAACTGATTTATTAGTACCTAATGTAACACTTAAAATCATTATTAGAAAAGTTATCTAACTGCGTAAGAATTTTTTTTTTTTTAATTTAATGATAAGAAAAATTGACTACAATGCTATTGCTGGAACACCATGCTATAATGCTATAAGGAATTTTTGGATACAACATAAGAAGAAAAATTTACAAATTTTCTAATGTAAATTTGTAAATTTTTCTTCTTTTGTTTTTTACTTACAACTGTAAGCCTCATGCTATACTTTGTGGTGCATGAGGCATTTTAAGTCGTTTAAACAAAATAAAATAAAAAATAAAAAAAAATAAAAAAACATAATTACAGCGGAGCAAATTTAAGACTACTTTTATACAAACTAATAAACATTAATTTACGCAACAAAAAAAAACTATTTTTTACCTTAACCATAATCACACCTAAAAAACAAGCTGAAAATAAATGCCTATGAATGATCATAAATTAATTGCCGACTGTATAAATTAGATTAAAAACACTTCAAACTCAATAAAATTCTTTTCAAAATCAATTATTAATCAATAAATGGGAAATTAAATCGTAATTTTGGTTACACAATTTATTATCAGTAAAGTTAGTCTTCGATTTTTTTTAAATTAAGGAAGATGTACAGCGTATTGATTAAACAAATATTTAATTTGATTGATAGGAATTTATGAACAATGCGTTGTCATTGAAGTAAGTTTTTCAGTTACTTAGATGATTGAATTACTTTTTTTAGATATTAAAAATTATTATGCACAAATAATTTTTATCGTTTGTCTTTTTTGAATAGTTATAATGTCTATGGAATTAGAAAAGTATAATACTCACATTTTTCTCCAGATGTAGCGGAAAATATTAGGCATGATTGCAGAGATTTTTTTGAAGTTGGTAATCGTAACTAAGTCTAAACGGGATTTTAAAAAAATGGACGAACTATATTGTTAAGGTCACTGACAGAGATATGTTTCATTGTTACATTTTATTTTGAAATTTTTAGAAAAAATTAATGGCTTTTGATTGTTAGATAACTAGAATCTTTTCAAATCAAACAATGCTCTTTGTTTTTCATTATTAGTTAAAAACGCATACTGAATTTATTTTAGCACGTGTAACAAAAGAAAAGGTTTCCTACTATTACTACAATCTTATTATTTGCTAACTTTTCTATTTACGATATATATTGAAATTTCTTTAAATTTCCATTTAAAATATTAATTGGTTATTTGAAAATAAAAATACGATTCGGAGAATTTTATGACAATTTCATGCACTATTTTGAAGGAAATTTTTTAAAATTGTTCTGTATCTCATGGTGAAAATATTTGTTCAGCATGCCTTTGTATTAGTAGACAGTGATTCTGATCTTCAAGTTACTTTCTGTTGTCAGCTCCAACACCAAAAAAATATGTTTATGTAATGAAGTAAATTGAATGTTGACCCCAACATTCAATTTACTTTAGACATGAAAAATAGTTTTAATTTACCTTTTTTAGAAGTTCTTGTAACTAAATGCCCTGATCATTTTTTCACCGCAGTATATCGTAAACATTTTGCCGTCTGTTTGGCCCCTCATGTTAATTCTAATCACCTTAATTGTTGAAAAATGTTTGCATTTAATACTTTTGTTTGCCGTACCCTAATCGTGGATTTAACCCTTCGATATTTGTTACAGTGCCGACCGGCGTGTGTTGGGGTCAGGGAACTGATCTTGTTTCAGTAATGTTTTGGGTTTGAATCCTGGGCAAAGCGTGGATGTTCTTTCATTCTCTGTACTATCTGTCCATACTGAAGGAGCAACGTTGGCTCTCCTAATATGGTGCCCCTGAGAAAGTGACCAACAAATCTGCCCTTCAGAGGAATGTATGACGTAGATCATTCTCCAGCTGGGCATCGGGGAAAAAAATATTTGATGTAGCTCTTTCCAAACTCACTAAACGCAAACGGTCCTCTTCTTTAATCTTTACAGAGATTCGGTTACTTAACCAATTTATCTACTTTTTGTTATAAAAATGCTAATATCCTCCCCTATTTTAACTTTAAAATAATTTTCAGGCCAGTTAACTAAATAAAATCTAAGTCTCTTGAAGATTCTATTAGCTTTGATAATCGATGGGGCATTTACCAAATTCCTTACGACCTTTGAAGTTTAGATTTATGGAACACGGAAAATAGGTCCGTTATCAAGAAATCTTCAATTGCTTCCACCTCAGAATTGTTGGAATCTTGGGCATAAATTCAATTTTGACAATGCTAAAATTACTTTCACCCCAATTGTATCAGTTTATCTTGATGTTCTGAAATCTGTTTTTATTCATTTGAATGCTGATTCCCTTGTCGAGGACATTAGTTCCATTCCTCTTCTCCATAAAGCATTAAAATGCATTTTACCATAATTTGCCCGTTTTTCTTTTCTTTCTGCCTCGGCATCTGT